CCGCCGGCCACGCGGCGGGCCCAGCCCCAGCCCCCCGCCGGGGAAAGCGGCTCGGAGTCGGAGCCGGAGTCGGGCGAGTCGGACTCTGAGGAGGAGAAGATCGATGAGGTGAGCGGGGGGAGCGGGGCCCCTCCCGGCGCTCGCGGCCTTCATGCGGCGCGCGGGGCCTGCGCCTGCCCTCCCCTGACGGGCCCTCGGTGCCCCCCTGCCCCGGCCATCCCCTGCCCTCCACCAGAGCCTTCCCCGCCTCTCGTGATTCACTGTAACTAAAATAAGTTGTAAAACGGTGGAAGTAAGCAGCGGGCTCGCGAAGCCGTGACTGGGAGCTGTTGGGGAGGGGGTTGTCCCCTTGTGAAGGGGGCGCCAGCAGGGCGGTGCCTCGCAAGGGGTCGGGGCCCAGCGTGGGGCCCTGGGTTCCTGTCCCTGTGTTAAAGTGTAGGTAACACGTTAGTGTGTGTCGGTAATCGGTGATGTAAAGTGTATTCGGTCAATTGTTGTTGAGAGTCTTAATTATTTTGTTTTCTTCTCTTTTAAACGTTGGAATCCCCGAGGCCGCAGTCAGTTGTACAGACTTGTGTGTAGCCTGTCCGCGTGCGTCCTTGTGTGGGACTGGAGGCAGCCACTTGAAAATAACGCTTTCAGCACAGAAGATTTGCTCAAATTTCCTTTTTGTATAAGAAAGGGGGGGGAGAAGAAAAAACACCAGACCTCACAGAAATCAAATTTTAATTTCTTTTCTGAGCTCTCTGTCTTTATATATCTGCACCTGGACATATGTGAAAATGCATTATTTAGTTGTGAAACACAACACTGAAGAAGGAGCCCCCCCCCTTCTAGGAAAGGAAGAGATATGCACTGACATTGAACTCCTATTAAAATCTTAGAATGATAAGGCAATCTGTCATTTTCACAGGACTTAAAAGAATCAAAGAATAGAAGTATCTGGGTTTTAACTCAGTACCTTTCAAATTAAATATTTTGCGAACTTGATTGTCTTCACTAGGATTTCACTTCGAGTTAATAATCTTCCTTTTTCTTAGATGAGGCCTTAGTTAGCTTATGTTAGTAAATAAAAAAAAACCCTACTTTTTTTAAAAAACTATGTAATGATAAAAAGTGTAGGTTTAATTGTGTTATCAGTCGTACTAACATGATGGAAAAGCACATTTACCATTTGCTAGAAATGTGTGCCACGTTAAATGGGTACTGACTTAGTTTGAGCTAACATGTTTATGAAGTTCTTGACTAGCTGCTAGTATTTTTTGTACTGTTCAGTGTTTGTAAACTGATACAAGTTGTTGCGCTAGTGTCTAGACACTGAAATTAAAGCTAATGGCAATAATCCTTTTTTTCCCCCCCCTTTTTTTAAGTGCTCAGCATCCCTGCATAATGTAGGTAGGACAGTGGTTTTTATTGTGGTGTTTGTGGATGAAGTTTCTTGAGTCTTCAGTGACAGGGGTTTTGAGGATGGTTTTTGTATGTCCTGCACCGGTGTGCACTATTGTGTTTTATTTGCAATTGTTTGTGCACTGGATAAAATTTGCAATATAACACTTATTTTAATTTAGTAGTCCAGCTTTTGAGGATGATATATCACTATTACATCTATTTCAGTTTGGAAGTCTTGATATAAAGATATATTGAGTTTCCCTCAATTCTTGTATAAGACATCAAGGTGCGCATTGCTAGTATTAAAGAAATGTACTGGACATTTATAACTGTACAAACTTAGAAATTTGTAAAGTCATATACTTAAAGGGCATTTGTTTCTCTTAATTCTCAGCATTTTTATTTTTGCTGTATTAGCCTTTCCCTTCGCCTCTTACCACTTCAGGTGGAAAAAGGAAAATCTCTTCCTTTATGCAGATATTTTCTTCATAGAAAAAGAGGCATGTGGTAGTTCTGTCAATCTGAGAACAACAATATGATTGCCAAGTAGGGCCTGGTTGCTGAGAAGAAGCTTTGCTTGCTGCTGTATTGTTGTATGTAGCAGAATATTGTTGCATATAACAGCTTGCTTTGCAGGCTCTTGTTTTGCATTGGATGCAATGCAGGGGGAAGAGAATAAGCACACAGTAGCAAGCTGTGGGGTTAATGATACCATTGGGATTTGAGGAAATAGCAGAAGTATGATTTTGGATGTAATTGTTTAAATGTCTGCAGCAATATTCATCTTTAGCCAAGGCATTACACTCCTATCCTGCAGTTTTAAGAGCTTAACTGCCTGGATCAAGCCTCTCTACAGTAAGAATCTATGTGGCTATGGTAAACATAATTGAGTGGACCAGACTGGAGGAACAAAGCATTAAAGGTTTGTTCACAACACAATTTGTAAGTTAGTTTTAAAAAGTTACTTTCACAGATGCTCTCTAAAGATTACAGAAGAAATGATAACGGTAACAATTGCTGAGATTACTGAAAGGTGGAAATAAGTTTCATTTCTGATGTTGACCATTACTTGTCTTCATGTTTCTTATACTTCAGCTTTGTTTTGATATAGCTTCTTGCCAAGTATGTTTGATATTCTCTATTTTACTTTTCCATAGGAAGTGAATATTGAATTCGAAGCACATTCCATATCAGACAATGACTATAATGGGATAAAGAAATTACTACAACAGGTACTTTGACTTCTTGTTAGCTTGGTTGATATGTCCATTAATAAATAATATCTAAAGAGCTATGCAAGGTCATCAGTTCACATTATCTGTATTGATTCATAGTTTTACTGTGCTTCAGCTCATGAAGATTAAATAATTACAGCCACAGTGAAGATGTGTGTCCTAAACCATGGTTTCAAGAACTTTACCCAATGAACTGTAGGGCTGTTCTTCCACAGTGTGTATAATCTTTCCATCTTCATTGTGTTAGTTGCTGCCCAGAAAACCTCGTTCAGTGTTAATCAGCTTCCTGCAGGTTTTCTTTTATAAATTACAGCCCTTAAAAACAGACAAACAAATAATGTGTCTGTTCAACATGGCAGCTTCCAGTCTTCTTTTGGCTGTTTCTGTCGTAAACCTATGCTCAGCAAGCATTCAGATCATACCAAACTCAAAAGGATACCAGGTATGCAAAATGCCAGCTTGTTGAGGGTTGAGGAGCAAGGGCTTCAAGAAGCTGATTTTTAGTTTTTACAGTATTATATTGGAGGAAGTTAAATAAACAAACTCACTAAATGGAAATTAAAAATGGAACAGTGTGTTGCATAACAACTTGGAGAAATTACTGACTTTTTTCCTACTAAGTGGCCCATGATATATCATCAGGCCTAGAACTTCTTAATTCTTGTTTCTTATTTTCCAGTTGTTTCTAAAAGCTCCTGTTAACACTGCTGAATTAACTGATATATTAATACAACAGAATCATATTGGAAGTATTATCAAGGTAAGACAGAATTTATGTTTGTAAATGAAGTACAATACTTTTTATGTTGAAATGACATAACGGACTTGCAGAAGGGGAACCTGTCTTTGTATGCTTTCTTGCTTTTTTGCTTTGAGAATAATTCTTCTGTGGGAGCTGAAATTTTCCGTGCCTACTTCCAGTCAAATAAGGAATTTGATTGATTATTTTGATTGGGGTTTTTTTTGCATATGAAAGGCATGTCACTTTTCTCCCTGAATTTTGGTGTAGTAGAGTAATAATACTGTAAATGCTGTAGAGAAGTTTGTTACCATCTCCATAAGAAGTAGGACCTTGTGATTTCCATGCATTCTCAGGATGTACAGAGATGTAAACCAAAAATATCCTGCATGCAGTTTCCTTTTGTGCGGAGTTCTTTGGGCATAGGAAAGGATCCCAAAATGAGTCCTGGACAACTTTTGCTATGGCAGTGGAGCACTCTGCAGAGGCTCCTCAGTTACTCCTGGCTAAGGAAGCTGTTCAGTACTGTATAGTGCTCAAGCTGTCACGGCCACGTTGCATTCAAACCCAAACAAGCTGCCCCCACAGCACAGCTGTGCTGTTGTACCATGTTGCATAGTATCATTGCTATGCCTTCCCTTTTTGTTCTGTGCCAACAGTTTTTCCGCCCAAGTTTAATATGATCCTTATATTACAACTGCATGACCCCCAGTTCTTTCCCCAGGTTTTTCATTGGGGAGTTTTGTTGAGCTTTTTGTTTCACTCTCTATCAAAGCTCTATTGCTTTACGTTTTTTAAGACTCTGCAGGTTTATTTCCCTATGTTAGAAACTGAGGGAAATTGGTTTTGCTTAAGATATTGCCATCCCTTGTACTGAGATGTTGCTTATTATATGTGAGCTATCAAATTCTAGCCTTTCAAAAGATCCTGCTGTACAAGATACATGTCCTGGCTCTCTATATAGCTGGCTCCAAGTACACAGAGACATTCAATGATGCGGCACTTTCATAACCATAACCAGAATTTGTAGGTTGTGTG